GATTAAGCTTGTATAAAAAGAGTTTGCTGTCAGCCTGAGAGGAAGGAGGTCAAATTTTCTCATATTAATATTCAAATTTATTAAAGAAAGTGTAAATTAAATTAAAGGGTATAAGGTTAAGAATGTTCGGGTGTATTTTATTGAATATCATAGCTATATATAAAACTTGAATCTAAGTTAAACAAATCCTACACTATTTTACAAACTTTATTTGGCCTTCATTGTCAAAATAGAAAAGAAAGGCCCCTAAACAGGTTAGGCTAGCCTTCATAACTGGTCACTTTTGTCACAACTGCCGGCCACCAGTAGAAGCCAAATTGGGCTTCACCACCAGCACCAGAATCCTCCAGCCGGCCTCCAGTCGCATGGGTTCCTACCCGGCTGCTTCTCCACCATCTATCTACTCACTGTTCATCCCACTCTGCTGCTACTGCTGCCGTTGCCCCAGCCTGACCTTCATCACCGACAGTAACTAGAGTAAGCATAGTTGCAGTCTCCTATGTCATCAGCTGTGCCACCCACTTCTGCCAGTCCTGGAGTTGCACAGTACAACCGCACGAGTAGTTCTGTGTCCCCCCATAGTGTAGTGCTATCCAGTCTCACTGTCTACCAATAGTTGCATAGTCTATCATCCGTCCGCTACTCGAATGAGGTCACGCCACTAGATGCAAGACGCGAGATACCAGACGTGGTTGTGAACTGGCTTACCAATGGCATCAGATCCCGTGGCCACCGCAGATACCATTATCAATAAATGCCATGGCCACCGCTACAGCACGAAATGGTCGAGCGATTCAAGCCATAGAGACCGTTTGATTTAATTGCTTTAAAACCTATAAAAAGCTCCATTGATGTGCTTGTAATCATCAACGAAGAAATAAAATTACCTTATCTGTTTCTCCTCTCTTTCTCTCTTCTTCCTCTTTTTATTTCTCAAGTTTAGCCACCATGTCTAAGGGTGCTGACAAGGTGTTATGAGAGCCAAAGCCGGACAAACCCTACGCCGGTGTCACCTTGTGTTCTAGATCCAAGGGAAAGGCAGTACCTGTGGTAGAACAAACGGAGCCGAGGGTGAAGGAGCTGGACAAATGGTTGGCCATCCTCGTGGCCTAAGTTCGCGAGAATTAGAAAAGACCTCAACTACAATTTGAGTTTCTGGTGGAGATGTTGCGTGGCGGCACACTACAACAGGTGATGGTAAGCTCGGCGTCACTGACCGCAGCCGTCACGAGCAAGCAGCAGGGAGTTCTACCAACTTCCCACGCGCACGAAGAAGAAGAAGTTAAAAAAATCGGGTTGACTAATTCTGAAGGTAAAACAAGTGACGCGAACGGAATCGACCCCAACCGACCCAATTTGTTTCTTGAATCAAACCAAACCCCCAATTTCACCATAAACCTGACCAGTTCACCCCTCTTTAGTCAACTGCCCAACATGCCCAAGGTGGAAATTCCACTTTTTGATGGAACTAATCCCTGCGCTTGGATTCGGAGATATAATAAATATTTTTTAGTCACCGGAAGAACAAAAGATAGAGGTTGCTTCATTTCTTCTAGGTGACATAGCAGACATTTGGTACGACGGATGGTTGACATAAGTGGAAAAGCTTGAATGGAATTTTTTCATAATGGAATTTTGTCAAAGATTTGAGAGTGTTTCACAAAAAATTTTGTGGAGGAATTAAATAAGATAACGCATCCCGGAACCTTCATGGAATTTAAAAAACTTCGGGAATAATTTGGGCCATTAAGGAATGCGGCCAACCCCATTCTTTTCGAGAGATTTTTTATTTTCAGTTTTATCAGCAGACTCAAACCAAAACTGCAACCAATGATAAGGCTGCTTAATCCACTATCCTTCAATTAAGCATTTGAACAAGCCTTACTTCAAGAACAATTTATGATAGCAATGTCTCAAACTT